ATCCGTTTGTCAATGGTTTATGTGCAAAAATTATAGAACTATCTTTGATGGGATTCAACTGGATTTTCACTATAGTAATACATCAGGGATGTTTGCATAATGTTCAGGTAAGAATAAGTTTATATTTTATTTATAATAAAGCAAATTATAGAGGAAATACCTCCAATCTTCATTTGTGAAATTCGAGCATGTGGTTCGATAAAATTTGAATTTGCCGCGACAATATAAACGGAATTAGAATGCTGATATAAATATATTTATAGCATTTATACTTCAACAAATGCTACTATAAAAGTCTTATATTTGAATCAGACTTATCCATGTTTATTAATATATTTGTATATCCCAAGTGCCAACTGTATATGCCAGATTAATTGTAAATTGTCAGCCATATTTAATGCATGCCTATAGAAAATAACTACTTGCTCAAATCAGCAGCAGTATTTATTCATATGTTTTGTTTAAATTAAACAATTTTCATTTTGAGAGGTCTTGCACCAGTCAATGTATTAAAATCTGTTAGCCTTTAGACATGCTTTAGTGTAATGCCAGGAAAATTATCCATGTTTTTCTATTAATTAAACCACAGTTTATAAACATAACTATGTGATGGTATTCAAATTAACCAAACTCTCTGCTAGCTTACATTTCATGCTAACTTGTTAAGATGAATGTGCTAACCAACTGAGCTACAGAGGCCAGCTGTTAAGCTTTAACCGTAAGTTCATGTATATTTAGGTAATCGGGTGTGCGGGTTGTGATAAGGTGGACTTCAATAATTTGGATTCTTGCACTTCACTTGGTGGAATTAAAATTAGAATGTTAGGGTTTGTAATCCAAGTGAGAATATATACATTTTTTGTGTATATATTTTGTAAAGTTTACAAAATATATACACAAAATATATACATGTACTATACATTTGTATATTCTCACTTGGATTACAAAATATTCTCACTTGGATTACAAAATATAGACATGTATATATTCTCACTTGGATTACAAACCCTAACATTCTAATATTAATTCCACAAGTGAAGTGCAAGAATCCAAATTATTAATTTCAAATGCCCCGCCGGGGCTATAGGTTTGAGTGGAAATGCCCAACCCCCGGGATGTGCTTTACAGGAAAATGGCTGGGCGAGGGGGATGGGCACACTTGGATTTGGCTGATGCATTAAAAGTCCTGTGCTTATTTCAGACTGCTTGTCAAATATTTACTTGCCGGAAGTAGAAATTTACTCTGACCACTGGATGAAGAAGACATTAAATAAGTACTGGTCAATAAACAGAAATGTATTTTAATTCATAGTATTACAATTTTATTTTTATACTATAAAAATAAAATATAAACATGCAACATAGAATATGCAAATTCGAGGCAAAATTATTGTTGAATCGGTTTATTTATAGGATTTTATAACAAATAGCAACTATAAAAGTTTGTACCTTGTCTTCACATGCATCGCTTTATTCTGTTAGCCAATGCTTTTAAATTTACATATTTTAGAATCAGTTCCTTCCTGGTATAACTGCATTTCTAAATGAAATCATCGTGAGTAGTGAGTGCTGAGCAGGCCGTGTTACTATAAACAAATTTTAGGAATTGATAACAACTTTGAAAAATATATCGTTGCACATTCGGCCACAGTCGGAGAAATGTTCATAGTATGTTGTACCGTCGCTTGCACCTAACGATGAACAGTTGCTCATAAAAACATTCGCGTGATTAGAATCTCCAATGTTTGTCAAGAACGACAACACTTAATTGTTGTTTCCCATGTGTACAATAATAAGTAAAAAAAACTTTGTGCGGTCTGAACGAGTTGGGCCAGAGACCTACTGGAAACCTTTACAGGCTTTTTAATGAGAATAGAGAATGTTTTATCTGCAACTGTTCACCTTTAGTTGCAACCGACGGTATTTGGCAGCATAAAATTGCCTGTGGCTGTGATAACTGATATAAATAAATACAATCTGGTTAAACTGACTTGAGCGTGTCATGACAAACTCTTTATTGGAAAATTGTGAAGAAATAGTCGAATATGTAGGGACGAATATCATACTTCAACTTGTATAGCTACAGTATCATTGGTACATGGCGTTGTGAAGACAAGCCTTTGCTTACCTTTCGCTTCAGCAGTCTTTTTTTTTCCATGCTTCTCTACGCTTTCCCAGGCGAGCTTCTCTTTCCTCAGCAGTCTCCTCGAGCAAACGTTGTTGTCTTCGCTCCCTCCTTTTCGCTAGACGTTCGGCTTTCTTGTCATTCCTTGCCTCTCTTCATTTGGCTCCATATCTTTTTAATTGGTATTTGATACCGTAATTGTTTTATTAAACTTTTTATAGAACAAATTGCTTTGAAAGCTGTAAAAGTTTTTTGCAAACGTACAAAATACTGTAGTGTGAAAAGCAAATTATTTTCATGAAGTATCTGTCAGTTGAAGTCGTCATTTGTCATACAACAACAAATTTTAAATTTGACCAATCAGTGTTCGCTATCCATGACAGTCCGCCATATTTTGAGATCAGTGAGGATGACCACCCACTCAGGGTTAGTTGGTCACGCCCGCGATATTTGATGAACTTTAGACTTGGCTAATGCTTTCGTTTCCCCTGGTGTAAATAGCCGGGGGGAATTAGTACCCTCGCACGGCGCTTCGCGCCGCCGGCTCGGGGATAAATTCATTGTACATGTCACCACTTTACCACCTTGACTGATAATGCTGTGGTAACTAACACCTTCAAGATAATTCAATTTATAGGCGTGCGGGTCGTCATGCATGGCATAAAGGTAAAGCAAAATCTGTGCTTTTTAAAGGTAGAGACAGTGTTTCGGTGCGAGATTGATGTATATTGCTTTGCGAACAAACAACTCAGTCCATGCTAAAGCCACATTTGCCAGACTCCAATGAAATTAAACTCTCGCAGCAAAATATTACAAGTGCGTGTGGTTGTCCTAACCTATCGGACAGCTAGAAATATGAATGCCGTCATCGATTCCCCTTCCCCGGTTGAAAGTATACAAGGCAGAACTATCCATCGTTCAGCTCCCGCTTTTGTTACTAATCATTGCCAGACTGAGCATATGGAGCTGAATAATAATAATTGTGGTTGTGGCTGCGGAATTCTGGTTGCTGAGTTTGAAGGAATAAAACTTGATTTAGTTATTTTACAAAAGAAATTTGAGACTGAATTTGCGACCGAACGTACCAATCTTTAACCAATCTTTATAACTTTATTGGGAATACTAACAATAACGATAAATGGGTGTTTCCCAAAAGGAAAGGTGCCAACGGGTCAGAAAAAGCCCATGCGAGGCACCTCCCTTACAAACTTTACACAAAAAATTACATTACACTATAAATTATAGTTGAGGTAAAGCTCGCTTTGCGCATACCCACAGGATCTCCAAATACGTAAAATGCATGTAGATTTTGGAAAAATTGTACGGAAAATAAAACTAACTTGGTTTTGAAAACATGTGACTTGGGCATGTACACGAAACGAACTTTACTTCAATCAAAGAACTATACATTATTTTAGTTTCTGTGACATGGACAGTCTCGAACAAGAGACCAGGTATATGGCATGTCTACGTCAAAAACTGAATTACGTAAAAACGAATAAGTCCGACGAAGAAAGTTCTTAAAAGTAAATAATGTCACGAAGCTATTAGGTGATGCAGTTCTGCACACTACATTCCATAAATGAATTGTTCGATTAAAGTAAGAGTTTTTAAACGTAGTTGTTCTACATAACGGCACTTGAAGTAATAGACTAGGATTTAAGGTTAGTCGAGAACGATCATGACTAACAAAACTAACATAATTGCCTATGTCTAAGTCTACGTAACCGTATAGTGCCTTATAGAAGAAGACCAAGTCTTGGATTTCTCTGTCATAACACAGCGGCAGCATGTCCAAAGTCTGAAGTCTCTCCTGGTATGATATCTCACCTATTCTTGATCTTAGGATCCATCTTGTCGCGCGTCGTTGTATTCTTTCGATCTTGACTTTGAGGGAGACATTGGATGGAGACCAAATTTCAGTACCATAGCATAACTTCGACTTTACAAGCGATATGTATAATGAACGCCGGATTTTGGTTTCCGTCAATAACGGACAAGTTCTCTTTAGGAGACCAAGCATCTTGTTAGCTTTAGCTGTTATCATTTGAATATGCGAGTTCCACAAGAGATTGTCTGTCTTACCAATGTAAGCCAACTTAAGCGAGAACTTGCTCATGAAAAAGATAAAAAACAGTCGTCTTGAGTCGGACTTGACTTTGTTTGTGAGAGAAAGAAATGCCGAATTCGATGAATTGAGTGAAACAATAGCCTTACTTAACGACAGAATCAAAACTAGTGAAGCGATTATTGATCAACTGAGACCTTCTAATGCAAGCATAAATTTGGAAGAAACATGTACTTTTGATTCTGCTCAATCAAAAGATGAGCTTGTCAGAAAATATCCAGTTTGTGTCGACATTAGTACGCAAACCAAGAATGACGATCAAAAATTATCTAATAATAATGCTGGCCAGTTTTTCATGAGTGAAAATGCGTATGTTAATCTCCTTAATAAGGTTGCCGAAGTGCGCAACGATACGGCTCATTCCATTAGTCAACCTCGCATAAATAAAAACGTTAATGCGAATTCCTCTAAGCATTTGGTCGCATGTCCAATCCTATTAAAGAAAGGACATTGTTTAAAGGGATCAAGATGTGATTTTTCTCACAATATTAGCCAAAGTCGCTTAAGTAAAAAGGCAAGCGTGAATCCCCCTAAAGAAGTCAACCACACTTTTCGAAGTAGATATAATCCAGAAGCACCGCATCAACAATTTCATAAGAATAAGTACAACAACCGGTGTATACGAAAAGGCCAGAACTTTAAGCGACCGGTCATCCATCGCAATAATCCAATTATGCCCCATTTTCGATGGTACCAGACCAATTACCATCCCCCACTACGATCCGAGAGACTAACACAAAGTTTAGAATGGGAAACATACTTAGACTTTGTCCATCAAATGACAACGCCCTATATGCATGGTCGACAAAAACTGACACAGTTTTTCTAACCGAAAGTTCTCCGACCATCTACCCGATCAAGGTGGTATCTGGTCGAATCCGTGAACAGATTACTGGTGCTAAACTGAGAAGTAATCCGTATAACCTGATCAACGTTACATTAGAAAACCCATTACAAGCAACGCCGCTACCTAATTTAATAGATACTCAAGTCAGCAATTCCATGACAATGTCTAGCTCAGATATAGAAATCTTACCATCTCAAGGCCTGGTGTCTACCCTTCCCAATTTTTTCTTTCCAATGTACGATCCATATCCAATAAAGTAGATGATTTTGATGTAGTCGTCCAAAGAAATGGCATAGATTTTGAGGGAATTACAGAGACATGGTTGAATACTAGCATCCCGGATAGCTGTATAAATATCCATGATTTTAACCTGGTTAGAAAAGACCGCTCTGGTCAACGCGGGGGTGGAGTTTGTGCATTCGTAAAATCAAATATCCCATTCGTGCCTCTTCCTGACTTATGTTGTCCAGATCACGAGAGTCTGTGGCTAAAACTTCGACCCTATCGACTTCCACGGGAATATTCCTGCATAGTTGTTGCTCTTGTATACCATCCACCACAGGCCGATAATAACGAACTGTATGACCACCTCATAACCTCGTTGGACAAAATTTTAGCATCTTACCCAACATCAGGTGTAATTGTTATGGATGACTTTAACCAGTTCGACTCCAACACGTCACTTAAACAAATTGTAAAGAAACCTACCCGTGGGAATGCAACTTTAGATTTAATATTTACTAATATGAAACGTTGTTACAATGACCCTGAAATACTCCCTGCTATTGGACAATCGGATCACATGTCAGTCCTGTTACACCCCGTTAGTAACAATCACCGCCCTAATACCATTACCAAAGTCTGGGTCAGAAAGCGGAAGCAATCAAATATGCAGGCATTTGGTCGATTTCTTTTGGATCTTAACTGGAGTGTACTTTCGCAGCTACCCGATTGTCAAAAAATGTGTGACCTGTTTTATGACATTATTCTCATGGGTTTGGATACAATTTTCCCCAAAAAATCTGTTAAACTTCACTGTAGAGACAAAGCGTGGATTACCCCTGAAATCAAACTCCTCATCTCCCAACGACAAAAGGCCTTTGCCTTGGGAAATACAATTGAATACAACAAATTGCGAAATAAAGTAATTCACGTCGTGAAACAGGCAAAGTCTAAATACTTCGAGTCTCAAGTGAATCATCTAAAAAATTCAAAGCCAAGGAAATGGTGGAGTGCTATTAAAAACCTAGCTGGCTTTTCTTTAAAGCCTGCCTTCCATTCTGCAGAGGTGAATGGAACTATCTTGCAGGGACGAGACTTAGCACTCGCTGTTAATAACGGGTTTTTAGCCGCCACTAAATCGTTACTGCCGCTTTCAATTACTGATAAATTATCTGTGGAAGAACCCCCTTTTTTTACCCTATCTCCGTTGTTGATGTCGAATCGCGTTCAAAAGCAGTTAAATCGAATAAAGCTCCTGGTCCAGACTCTCTACCAAATTGGATTCTCACTAACTTTTCAATGGAGATTTCAGAACCTGTGACAATGATTTTTAATGCCTCCATTAAACAAGCACAAGTTCCAATGCAGTGGAAAGAAGCAAATGTCGTTCCCGTCCCTAAGACATCCTCGGTCACGGATATATCTTCAGACCTGCGACATATATCTCTGACCGCCACGCTCTCAAAGGTTCTTGAATCATTTCCATTTCAATGGATTATGGATACCATTAAGTCTCAGTTGGACCCAAAGCAATTCGGATCGCTAAAAGACTCTTCTACGATAGACGCATTAATTAGCATGTTCCACTGTTTGTATTCTAACACAGACGACAATGGCGAGACTGTTCGTGTTTTTCTGCTTGACTTTAGTAAAGCATTCGACAGAATCAACCACAAAATCCTGATAAAAAAATGCAATTACTAAATATTGACAAATCCTTAATAAACTGGGTTATTGATTTCCTGATGCAAAGAAGACAGAGGGTGAAATTGGGTTCTTCGTTCTCTGATTGGTCCTTGGTAAATGGAGGCATCCCGCAAGGTACAACAATCCTTGGCCCATTACTCTTCCTCATCATGGTCAACGATTTGGCTATTAACCGCAAAGATAGATGGAAATATGTTGACGACACTAGTCTCTCCGAAACAATCGGTAAAGGTTGTCAAAATAACCTGCAATCCGTTATTAATAATATCGATCAATGGTGCACGGAAAATGATATGATGCTTAATCGTTCTAAATGCAAAGAGCTAATTATCTCGTTCGCTAAGGACGTCCCTAATCTTCGACCATTGTTTATTAAAGATCACTGTATGCCCCCAGTTTTATCAGCAAAGGTTCTTCGTCTGTACTTTTCTTCTGATCTTAGTTGGAACGTACATGTTGAACACATAGTATACAAGGCATCAAAGAGACTTTTTTTCTCCGAGTGCTTAAATGCAGCGGTCTTGGAAGGAGTTCTCTAATTCAAGTCTATACCACATGTATACGACCTGTGCTTGAATATGCATGCCAGGTTTGGAACTTAAACTCCCCCAGGGACGCCGGAACGATAATAGGGCAAAGGGGGGCGGACGCACACCAAGGGCACCTTTTCTGAATTTTTTTTTTCACTGCAAATTTTTTTGGCGACCTTGCCCCCCCCCCGTCGCCAAAAAAATTTCGGTCAGTGTACCATTTTAGGGGTCAAAAAATTTTTCCGGACATACAAAAATTTTCCGTCAAGCCAAAAATGTTTCCGGATATCTTAAATTTTCGCCATTTCTTCAAACTATTTTTCTAAATTCCAAAAATTTCCCAAAATTTTTATAAATATAAACTATAAATTACCTGAATCTCGTGATTTTCCTACAAAAAGCATCGTTGGAAATGTGATTTATCACCTATTATTTTACAACTAAAAGGGCACTTCTGCCCCCCCCCTGCCTCCCCTAGCAAAAGGCAAGGGGGGCAGCCGCCCCCCCTGCTCCCCCAGTTCCGGCGTCCCTGAACTCCCCTGACTATTTAAAGGAAGAAATCGAAAGAATTCAGAAGCGAGCCCTACGAATAATATGTCCAACCTCGTTCCCAGGGTATTTAGGAAATACCCTGGTATGGGCTGGTCACGTGCCTCATCCAAAATTTAGCGCCCGAGGGGGTGTGGGGAAAGTATCAAATTACATGATTCCAGTGGAGATATTTTGTTTAACAGTTAAAAACATTATTAAGTTCAAAATACTTGCTAATTTTTGTTTATTTTCTTTGCTTTGAATTTACAAGAACATTCTTACATTTTTACCAACAGTCAAGTCAAGAAACCAAGCAAATCGTTACTCACAGTGCTCTCTCGTGTTGTTATTCAATGCCGCCTCTTCACACTCGAGCGTGGTTTTATAACAAACGTTTATTATGAGCTTTTCAGTCATCATTTCCTACATATGTAATGTTTTTAAAATACGCCATTAGATTTGTCCTTTCTTGTAAATGTTTATATGCTTTGCACCGATTTAATTACTTGTCACCACGTCTACGGGTCTTGTTTTAATATAAGATTGAAAGAAACAGTATTGTATTGTCTGCCGTCTGAGACTAAACTCTAGAGCCCAATATTAGCAAATGTAAACATTTGATACTAGCCAAACAGCGAAAGTCTGTCAGTGATTATAAAATTTTGGATTTAGTACATAGTATTCGGTGATTATAGTCAGGCTTTTGCACTTTTCTTGGTCTTTATTAATCATAATATTTTCCTAATATACTATTAAAATCTATATATTGTGAATTTACAGAGTCAGACGCGCACAGACTGTCATACGAATAAACATAAATTTTCGAGTTTTCTACTTCTATTACATTTTTAAAGTTTTCATTGCGAATCATCTGTTTATTTCTAGTTCATTGGTCATTAATATGCTCTAAAAAACAAGGCTCTCAAATATATTTGTATATTTATTTGATAGTGTCATAGTAATATATGCATTTACAAGCAATCCTGGATATGATAAAGACGATACAAGCTGTCCATTAAAATATTCTATTCCACAAAGCAAAATATTTAAATCTCACTTGTATTATTAAGAATATATATAAAGCAAAAAATTTAAACTTGTGTGAGTTGTGTCAAAACGAAAGCTGTTTATAAAATTTATAAATGTTGTAAACACTACTACTAATATAAAGTGCCCATTGAAAGACATAATATAGTATACGGTCGTTTGACTTATCTTTGATGTATGATTTTAATACTGTAGATTTTCAACAGACACCTAGACTTTAACATATACCATGATTGTTGAGTTTCAGCAATGCCAAGGGCCAATGCAGGAAGTTTTATAAGCTTTTTATATAGTCAACAATCTGGATACAGTTGGCGTCTTGGAAGTTCATGAAATATCGTTGCTCTCTCAAAGACGAAATAATTTATGTAAATCCTATTTTAAGAAACTTCTCAACCCGGAAAATAAATTGAATGAACTTATCCCTAACAAGACGCTCTATGGAGCGTTAACTCGCTGGGGCTATACAACGGACGCACATTACTGTTAAGATCTAAATGCTGATTTCCACTGTTGCGTTTTTCGTACGCACGTACACGCACGAAAAATTTTGAATTCTTTTATTTTTAAATATTTTACAAATAAGTTAACAAATGCATACTAAAACTTGCGGTGCGGAACAGTAAATTCTGTTGCTTCATTTATTTGGTTATTTTATCAGTAAACGGAATCCGCGTTTTATCCTCATTTGCGGAATCCGCTTCCGCAATCCGCGTTTTATCCCAATCAGGGCGCTATATTAACACTGTGTTTTATAGCGCCCTGATCCCAATCCAATAAAACTTCCGCGTTTATGCCCACAAGTAAAGTTATATTTTATAGTATGTATACACAACTACATTAATATATATTTTCTTAATTTTGGCAAGAAGCAGTCTTGTGTTTGTAAAATATACAAACACATATACAATTATAATTTATTAAATAAAACGGATACAAATATTATTAGCCCGTACAGTACTGTATATAAAAACGTACATTGTTTACAAATGGTATATCCGTAATATTTGAACAATAATTTCAAAATCCCGGCCTCATTCCCAATTCGCAAATATTTAACAATTATTCGCCGAAGGCGAAGTGATTACCGGTGAATATTCACCGAGACGAAGTCGAGGTTAATATTAACCGTAATCACTGAGCCTGAGGCGAATAATTGTTTTAGTATAAATTTTTAACGAATAAAATAAAATATCCGAATATCAGTTCAATTAAATTTCAGAAATAGAATTGTTTTCGGCCTTTTCACTAATAGTGTTGCAGTGTTTCTTGTACGCACACGCTTTCAAAATGGCTTCTTGTGTGACTATTGCTTTATTACAAAGTTGTTTTTCTCGATTTCTGCTTGGAATATAAACACAATAACGGAATGACTCTTTCAAAATTAAAAATAGTTTCTGTTTAGCATTAATTTCTTGAGGAAATGGCTGAGTATTTGGTAAATTGAAAAGTAAAACTATATCGTTTGAAATAAAGTTTAATAACACGTTTTACTTTATAACAAGTTTCGAAAACACAATACAGTGGTCAGGACACCTTACAGCACAATGAAAACATGACATATTAAAAGAAATAGTGTTGTACAAATTGGGAAATTTATTGTAGGATACAAAACAAAATTGTTTTAAAAAGAATATCGCGGCTTTTCCCAACAGTCTGGATAGTTTTTGCTATTTGTTTGAAGCGAATGTTTCGGAGTTTTAAATAAGTTTTAAATTGTCCATGAATATGTTTGACACAGTAAAATAATAAAGAAATCTTACCTTTCAAGTTAAATTCAACATTTTGTCGATTTTGAAACCAAATTTGCTGAATCATTAGGTTCTTTTTGAAAAGCATTATTTACTAGTCTGCTAGTAAATAATGCCTCAGATTTACTAGTCAACTAGCCAATCAGAACGCGCGAAAGCTCATTTGATATGCAAAATTTATACTAAAGTTAGTTATTCAAAGCAAAACAGTAGATTGTCTTGCGAATAAAAGAATTATTATTTTGTGCTTTCGCTTCACCTTGTCAACATAATAATAGTGTTGCTTCAAACTTTATGATAAAAAACCCCGATTTTTTAGACGTGTATACAAATAAAAATAGTAAGTTTATACTATAAATGAGTTTATTTTACCTGTATCGGTTTAAATTCGTTGTTAAGTTGCAAATAATTCTGTTTGAGAACGCAACAATTGGGCATTTTGCAATCAGGGCAGTTTCAGGGCAGTTTTGGCCTTGTTGTTGGGAAATCCACTTGGCCTTCTATTTTTTCGCTTGCGTCAGGCTTGTATCCTTCCTCCGCCCCGCCCCGCCCCCAAATCACCTAGTCCCAGTCTTTTCATGTGAAAAAGCGCTGAATATTAAAAAATATCAATAGAAATAGAAGGCCTAGGTCTAGGCTGGATTATTGTATGTTAACACAATATAATGTTTAATATAGACCAAAAAAGGCTAAAGTCTTACTATAATTACCGAATACGAATTATGTACTAAATCCAGATAAACCAATGACTGAAA